TGGGGGAGGGGGAGAAGCCCGGGGCAGGGGCGGCGGGGGCAAGCGGGGAGCACGGAGCTGGCACGAGAGGCAGGCACCGCGGCAGGGCGACCCGGGGTGCCAAGGCGGCAGAGGTGGCCCGAGAGGTCACGAGGTGGCGGAGGACGGTGACGCGAGGGGAAGAGAGTTCCAGACCCCCGGACGTGCACTGGACCCAGAGGCGAGGCGGCCTGAGACGCTGGCCCTTGGAGCGACACTTCCAACAGACCCAGAGGGGCCGTGAGTAGCCTCCGACGGGCGCCGGGTCCTCCCCATCCCAGATTATGGGGACTCTCCCCCAACCGGAAAAGCGGACGGCTTGTTGGGCGGTAGGTTGGTCTCTCCCAGATAAATGGGCGTAGACCGCAACCTAAACCCCCCTTTGCAAGCAAGCCTAGAGCAAAGCTAGGGAGTGGGGCCTCTGTGCAGTCAACACGAGGACCCGTCCCCACACGGGTTTGGGGCTATTACAACCTTTGCCAAGCCGAGCAGGCTTTGTATGCATTAATAGAATACACTGCTTGCCGGGATTGGCTCAGCGCGGTACATACAGTATCAGCACAGGGACGTTCTGTATAGGGGGGTAGTCTTATACGGCGAGTATAGGCCAAAACCTATGTTTTACCTGGAAAATTAGGGGGTCATCTTATACGCCCAGTTGCCTTATACGCCGGAAAATACGGTAATAAGTGTCTCTTATTTCTTGTTTTTACCTTTCATGTTCTTACCCTTTTGTCTTAAATCTCCTCTACACAAGCAATTCAACTTCTAAAAAATCTCTCTCGGAATAGCACCATTGTGAATTCCTGCAACTGAAGTCAATAGTAGTGTTGCTATTGAGTTCAGTGAGATCAAGCTTTCACCTCTAGCATACCAAGCAGTGTTAATACTAACCCCCAATGGAAGAGCAGATTCCAGCTAACAACCAAAACAGTGGAGGAAGTGGAGGAAGAAGAGGGGGTGCTGATGTCAAGGTGTTCTACTCCCACCCTGTATCCTATCTCCACAGAGCAGAGAGGGGGAACAACAGGACTTGGGATGGAGTTTTCTGGCTGCTTTTGGGAGTGGTGCAGAGCCAGGACAGGGGTAAGTCTGCCTTAGCCCCACTGCACCACCACCAAAGAGCCACCTGAAGTAAGCAGTGCCCAGCTGGTGCCCACATCCCGAAACCCTACCCCAGTCATGAACTCCATCTGCACACCAAATCCCTGCCCTAGCACCTCTGCATCCAAACACCCTCCCACAGCCTGTACCTAGAACCCCCTCCGGTACCCCAACTGCCTGACCCAGGCTCAGCTCAGAGCCCCTCTCATACTCCAAATTCCTTAATCCAAGATGAGAGCCTGCACCCCAACCCTCTGCCACAGACTGTTGGAAGGACAGGGGAGGGAGCGAGGGAGGATGGAATGAGCAGAGACAGTGGCCTCACAGGAGCACAAAGGAGACAGGGCAAGGGTATTTGGGTTTGAGGTAGATCTTGAATTGCACTTGAAGTCAAAAAGTGATCTTGTGCTTAAAAGGGTTAGAGACCACTGCTCTAAGCAAAGCGAAAGAGTGCTCTCTCATCAACTTAATTACTCTAGTTCCTTACGCCAGGTCTCCACGTGCTGCGAGATCGATCTTCTGGTGTTCAGTTTAATAGATCTAGTAAATACCTGCTAAATAAAACACTGAGGGCACCCACAGTTGGTGCCTGTACTCCTCTCAGTCAAATTTTTTCCCATCAGCCTTTCACTGTGAAGATGGAGCCAAGCTCGGTTTAAGGTATGTCAACTACAGCTACGTTACTTTTGCAGCTGGACTTGCACACCTTAAGCCAACTTTCTGGGTCTAGTATAGACATGGCCTAAGAACAGCAGTAGCAAAGTCAGTGGGAGAAGCTCTCCCAGAGACATCACTTAGGTTGGTATAACTTACATCACTCAGGGAACTGGCTTATTCAGACTCCTGAGCAATATAATGGATAGCAAGTTGAGCTATAGGTGGACAAAAACTGAATCTACCTACATTAAAAATGCTCAAAACTATTAACACGTTGTATGACAACAGTGATCTTAGAGTGCTCATAAGCTATTGATACATTACAAACCATGTTGCCCCCTCTAAGGTATCACAGCACAGGGACAGTGTATGCTCCCACAGCAGCATACTCCCAGTTCTAAAACCTTACAAAAGCATAGCACACCTGATGGAATAGAAATCCATGACTGTGTGTACCAGTTGCATCCTGAAGCTTGATCCATCCTTTCACTCAGACACACAATCACTGTAATACAGTGCTACAGATCACATATCACCATTCTCCTTGCAGCAACCAAATGATTCTAAGATGGGAAACAGAGAAGAAACTACTGCTCATCAATTCCAACAGTTAACATGGGCTTTTGGGAAGGGAGCACAGGACTTTAAATTTATGTAACACCATGTAGCCAAAAGCAGAGAAAAGAAAAAAGAATGGCCTCATCACTAAAGGTCCAAATAAAAACACATTTTAAAGATGGTATCTAAGATCATGCCTCTTCCGCTGATAGCTATTAGCAGAAATGGCAGGTGTATGTGCTCCATCTTTTGCACTGGTCTTTGGATAATAGATTTTGGTCTTTGGGGAGTAGGTTTAATCCTCTGGCTCTTAAGAGTATCATAAAACATTCAAGACCTATACGTGTTAGATTAGCTGGAGAGAGGAAGCTATGCAATAAGTATGGTTATAGGCCATTTCATGGGCTGAAAAACAGTAAAAACATAGGAGAAAAGTAGAGAATATAGTGTAGAAAAATTATATGAAGAATGTGGAGGAAAAAATTTAATTACCAGGAGTTTACAACATTGCTTATAGATTTGGCTATATTTCTTTATGTTTAAGGGAGGATAGCTGGAAGTAGAAGGAAGGAGCACAAACATTCCTTATCTTGGCTAACAGGATCTGGAAAACAACTTCCAGTAAATCCACATGCAGCTATAACCTAAGCATAATAAAACCCACATTTTACTGGAGGACGTAATTTAACCAGGCATCTTGGCAACATAATGCAACAAACCTTTTCTTAGCTGGATCTGTTTATCAGGTAGCTTGACATCTCTTTGGTGGTTGTCTTCATCACTGACTTTTTTATCCCATCTTCCCTGATGGGCAGGATTTGTAGCAGGAGTCAGGATCAAATCACTGTTGACATTTGTCTCTAACAGTTTTCCCTTATAGGGCACTGGATGCTGCTTTTCATGAGATACCTTAGCTTTCATTCTTTGGAAGATTTTTGCTGGAGATTCACGAGTTAAAGGATCACAAGCTTTGCGTTTCAGTACATTTTTGTCTTTTAGTGGCAAGATCTGTTGCTGAGGGCAAGACGCAACTTGCATTGCTACAGTGTCAGACACTGGCCTTATTTCACTGAGGTCAAGAAATTCTTTAGCATAAGTGTCCTCTGTTATTAATGTGGACTGAAAAATACCTTCCCTTTTCTTGAAAGTTCCTGTTCCTCTTGCAGAGTTTTCCTTGAAGTCACACAAACCTGAAGGGAGCATAGTTTCTTTTGTTGCAGAGGTAGTAATACCAGCATGTTGAAATTTCACCAACTCTTTCAAAGGAGTAATAGTACCTGAAGGTATGTTGCTCATAAAGACTGCCTGCAAAGGCATAGCTCCTTTTCTACCAGAAGAAATAGGAGACTTTAAAATATGTGTATTTTTTACAGGTGCTGCAGTCATTCTGCCAATGTTGACACCAATGTTTTGTGCTCTTACTGCAAAGCCATTGAAGCGTGCATGTTTAGGTACAGTATTTTAAATAAAGGAAGAAGCACGAATTCCATGGACTGCCAACTTTATTTGCCTGCATTTCATCTAAAAAGAAAAACAGGGTTAAAAGAAGCTTATCTTTGTATTTTCATAAGGAGTGCCACATTTCCCAAGTTAGCTTCCCTCGCGCTGTGATCTGTGCTGCATACACGCTGCCTGCCTGCTTGTTTCCAGTTAATTATTTTCAGAAGTGGTCACACCAACACAGCACCAGACTTACGTTTATCAGCTGGATCCGCAGGGGCTGTGTGAAGAAGGGATGTCACTAGTTCACCACGAGTAGCCCTGTGGCACTTGAGGGACTCACAAAAATACACAGTACCATGCGCGTCCGTGGGCAAAACCCACCCCTCAGATAAGCTCCTGTGAGGAGGTGGGTTTTGCCCAGGACAGTGTGTTATTTTGTGGTTGCTATTCTCCACGCCAGTGTGTCTCAGCCAGGGGTACAGCACCCTTGGGGTACTCAGAGAAGTGGGGGGGGGCGCATCAACACGACTGAAGTGTGGAGAAAGCGGGGTGTGTGTGTGTGTGTGAGGTCTGACAGCGCTGGATTATCTCTGCCCTTTTCACACCCAGCAGCTCAGCGCCCGCCC